AGCAGTAACCAAGATTGTGTGATATTCAAATGAGGAGTTGTTGCTCAGTGGGAAGAGTTTATTGAATTTCCAGGTTTTAGAAATGAGGATACCTGTACCACCTCCACGTCCAACAGAGCGAGGTGTGTGTGAGAACCATAGACTGTAAATATTACTGGACGAACCCTGACCCGTCTGTTACATAGGAAGAAAATGAGTCCAATCGACGGCCGCATCCATATTGGATTTGCAGTCTCAACCTAACTTCGGATCAACCTAACAACAGCAGTAAGGCGGGACCGGCGGGACTTAACTCCGCCCATTCAGCTCAACGTTAGCAGTCCACTTCACAGCATAGCTAACAGCTAGGCTGCTATCATCCCCTATTCCTGCTCGTCCTGAGAAAACTCTACAAACAGTAAGTTAACATTTTACTTTTCTACAACACAGTTAAAACGAATTATATTCAATCCAGATATTTAATTAAAGTCTTAAAACTACACTTTTTTAAATATACAACTATGGTTATTAGTTATTTGTCAGAGCAGTTAGACTTTGTCAGTGTTAGCAGAGAAATACATTAGCAAAGTTTTATCCATAAACTGTAAATAAATGAGACATCCAGAAGAAATCAATATTACAAAGCATACAGTTCATGTTACTGTTCTGAGAAAAAGAGGAATGTCTGTGTCTTATATTTACTGATGTCAACAGCGATGAGGTGAACATGACAATTGAAAAATAAATATTTAGTATTTATTATAAGACATTTGTTTTCTATTGAACCCTGTGAAGTCATGGAGTCTGTGGACAGTGTCAGCTTCACACCAAAAACTTTAAGTATTAGAAAAAATAGTGTTTAAGACTAGCATCTATTATTAGGAGTTGCAGCTACCTTGTTCAATATTATTCCTGCAGATGTGGCTAATAACAAAAAAACAGCCTGAGCTGTCACATGTAGTTAACTGTACATTTTGTCTGAGGCATTAATTGAACACCTTTGTATTTCTCCTATAGACACAGTGTGGATTATTGGTGACTTGTCTGTCGAGGTGCCCAGAGAGCTGCAGAGACAGAGGAAGAAACCTGAGCCTCAACAACATCTGTATTTGTTGGTTCTTCTGGGGTGGACTTCAGTTGCTTCTCTTCAACAGCTCGCTGCGAGGGAGGTCTCCCCCGGATGGCCTGAGTGATGTCACCCACAGGCTGAGAGCTGAGACAGGTTTTAAGCCTCTTGACAAACCGTTACACCGCACCTGCCTGTCAAGCTGGTCAGCTACACGCCTTATTGTGAATAACTCTTATTCTTCATCAAATCAAAACTGATGAGTCATCAGTCATCAGACATGAGCTAATCACACCTATTTGTTTGTTTTGTACCAAGCTGTAAACATGTTAATCTCTGCTGTAAAAACAGACTTTTTTTAATGTTGTTTTTCAGATTAAATAAATATTTCTATATAAATGCACTCTTTTATGTCTACTTATGAGTATACAGTTCAGATTTGAAATGACAAGACTAAAATGTGCATTAATGCTCAACTCAATAGCTAAGAGAAGGAAGTCTACTTTTACACAACTTTTTATTCTTTTGATAAATACTAATGTAGTTCATTTCTTAAAATGCGATGGAACAGAGTCATTGCAAAAATATGCCCTTAAACACAGCCCCACTCTTAAATCAAGATACATGGAGAGTAAATAAAATCAATAACTTGTGAATAAAAACACAGAAAATGGTTTGATTACAAGTTGTTTGGAGGAGATCTATTTTTATTTGAACAGCTGAAGCATGAACACAGTTTTCTAAGGTGCAAACCCTCCTCCTCCTCCTGAAGCCTGTGGAGCTCCTTCATGTACTGCTGTCTTATCTGCTGGCCATCTTCTCTCACCAGAACTTTGACTGTTGAAATGTCATTCAGAAGAAGCTCGAACATGTGACATGGATCCAGGAGAACATGGACTTTTAGTGAGGGGTCTTCAGGATGGAAAAGAAAGAGAGAAAATATCAGTTATTCATTAAATCATTTGTTTGTTCTCATCTATTTTTCTGTATTCATCTGTGTGTAAGAGCACATTTATAAATTCAACAGTGTACTACCCAGACAACAAAGGTACAGTATTCAGATAATCAACATTTAAAGTTAAGAAGATAAACATTATTGTAATCATGCTATTTTCAGCTCTCTCACTCACACAATGATATTCCACATCAAATTGTCTCAGATTTTGTGTGAGGAAAAATTAAGCAGTTTATTGTGGATAGTACTTCATCTTAACATGAAACAAATATAACCTGAATTATTTAAATCATTAACAGGTCCCAACTCTCTGTGCTTTAGTACAGAACATACAGTAACTCATTTATTATTAACATGAGCTCAGTACATGGCTGTATCTTCAAACTATTTATTGTACTAATTGCTTTATATCTTATTTTCATTCCACATGTTATTTATATTTTATATTTCTACTGCTATATTCTGTGTATGAGTTCAGTGAAATTTAATATGGTTATGAATATAGTTCTTAATGGTTACAGATGCTCTTACAAAGTGCACTTTTTTAAAAATTTGTTAACAGTTTGCTCAAATCTTAAGACACTACATCAACCATGTAACATTAAAGTCATCCTCTATAACCTACACAGCACATTAGGTTCAGTTTAGTTTATGTTACTGACGGATAATTACTACACAAAGTTTGTTTTTTAATGTCCACATTTACGTGGAGTATAACATTCATCATAACATCAGATAACCATATTTACAGTCTGTGGTTAACCACCGAGGTGAACCTTTAGCTTCTAACATCACACAAACTCATTATTTTCAACAACAACATCTTAACAAACATTTCTAAACCATTGACCGTAAATAATGAGCTACACTGTTAGCCGACTGGTTTACAAGCTAACGCTAAACAAGCTAGGTCCGTAAATATAAACACGAGTAAGCAGTAAATATAACACTACTATATCACTTACCGAAAATAACTGAAGCATCAACTTGTTGGATGGTTTGTTAACCGCACAGCAAGCCATGTATGTTGTCAGATATGTGTTAAACAAACTCTCCAAACGAAGTAAGAAAGAGGAGAAATCAGACGGATCAAGCTGTTAGCCTCCTAACCTGACAGACAGATGCAGCGCGCAGAGCTGTCAATCAAATCTGACACAACCCTAATATGGGCATAGCCGTTTTCCTTAATAGAATAAAATCCGATGAGTTATAAAAAAATTCACCCCCCCCCCCCCCCCCCCACAGTGTGAGGAGAAGGGGCCGTCAACTTCTCAGATATATCTCGTTTTTTGAACCACGCTGTAAACATGTTGATTCCTGTGGTAAAAACGGGCTTTTTTGGCTGTGGGCTTATGGCACTTCCGGCGCTTCTGCAGCCAGCCTCAAGCGGAACCTCGAGGAACTGCAGTTTTTTATACTTCCGCATAGGCTTCATTTTTCGAGACCGGAGGTTGCCCCTTGGTGAGAACACTGTGTCAACAGAAAGAGCAGCTGGTGTGACTGTGTTTTCTGGGCGGATCCAGGTTTCAGTAAGGGCAAGTGCCTGAATGTCTGACATTTTTGCAAGTGCTTGGATGAATTCAGTTTTATTCACAGCAGATTGACAGTCCCAGAGGCCAAAAGTAAATGAAGGGTGGGTAGAAGAGGCTTTCTTAAGCAGAGACAAGTTGTTAAGATTTCGTTGTCTATGACAGGTTTGTCTTTTCCTGTTCCCATGAATGACAGAGATTTCTTTGTAGCACATGTTGCGTTTAGCAGATGACCAGAGAAAATAGGCAAAGCAGTAGTCGTGGATGCCCGGGCTCTGTGGCCACAGCTTCCTAGTTTTCAGATCAGAGCTTGTTCTGCTGGCAGTTTCAGATTCAGACTCTTTTAAGCTTGGATTTTTGTGAAAATCCCACCCCAGATTTTCAGCTTGCAATCAACAGAGGGTGTGACACGCGTCAACTGCCTGTACTGTTGATGCTCAGAGAATGAAACTTAAGTGCTCACTCCAAACAAAGCCTGACAACGACCCACTATCAATATCACCCACCTAGCTTACAAGACCTTCCTAGTTTTCAGATCAGAGCTTGTTCAACATCCTCTGTCGAGTGATGTTGTTAAATTTTGCGTTTGTGTCTCCTCTTCCAAACCCTCTGTTATCTCTGCACATTGTGTTTACATTTTACATGCTGGACTTCGCTCTCCAAAGGCATGTTTTGTTTACTGTACTCGTGGAGCAATTCCCAAATTGTGGGCAGAAATGTGGGTGTATCACTTTGGTGTTGTAAGTCTGTTTACAAAGAAGCATCCCACACAGTTTAAAGGGCAATGTTTCAGAGCTAACCTTCAGTTACTTTTAAAAATGCATCTATTTAGCTGTTTTCACAAACAGAAAGCTCTAATTTAACTCCCACTAATTACAGTTTCAACACTGTGTCCTCTCTGTCTTCTTGGTTACCGTAGCGACTGCATGATTTTCTAGCGGTTTGATTTGACACAAACGTTAGACATGTATTTCTGATCAAGGGTACTTTATTTACTTTAAAAGAAATCCAGTTTTTATAGAAAAATGATTGATCTTGCTGTATTTACCTTTCACTTAAGAGGCCAAAAAAAGAAACCTTTCACATATTAATTTGACATATTTGAGCTTTAGAGACCTAGACCATTGTTTTGTTCAGCCTCAAGTGGCCACACGTGGAACTGCAGTTTTTTTGTACTAAAGCACCGGCTTTATTGTTCAGCTCCAGTTGATTTAAGTCAAGTCAAGTCTTTTGCATCTAAATCACTGAATGAAAAAAATTAAATTGTAGGCTAAATGTAAATTGAAAGCCTTATTTTATGCAGGCCTTCTGACTAAAAACCATGACTTTGGCTTCATATGTACGGTAAATGATTGAATAAAAAGCTTTCCAGAATGGATGAGTGGGCGTGTGTGATGTGGGCGAGAGGTGCATTGATTTTTGGCAGAGTTTATTTAACACAGGCCGTCTCTGGGGCTCATCACAGTCAGCCATGGGTCGTCCTGGGGTTCAGAGGTTAACATGGACACTGTTTGTCTACCTGAGTTGGATGTGTGTGGATCAAGCAGTGGCAGGGCCGTAAGTTCACTTTCATTGTCTATAAATTGGATCAAATTCACACTTTTGTTTGATTGTTAGCTCAATGTTAAATATTTCGATGCTCAATTTTATGTGTGTAGGCAGTTCATGGTCACCATTCCTGCAGTCATCGAAGCAGGAGCTGAAACGCCGTTCTGTGCGAGCCTCTTGAAGCCCAACGAGACTCTGGTCATGACCGTCACTCTGAGGTCCCTGCAGCAGAATGTGACTCTCATGGAGGAAACATCCAGTCAGGAGTTTCACACCTGCATTAAGTTCATGGTCAGCTTTTGAGATTCTTTTTGCTTAAATTCTCTGTGGAATTTGTGTTATAACTTCTAAAAACACGACTTCATTTGGACACTAAAAATGGAAAATCATAAGACAGGGGTACCAACAAAATAATCAGCTTTCACAACCAATTGAACCCCTGTGAGCAACTTTCTGTTTGTGTTCATTTTGGCGCCCCCTGTAGACAAAGTGGCACCTCTCATACTTTGCTTATCTTGTTCTGAAATCTCCCTGCATTCATCGAACAATTAAATGTTGAATATCTTATGTGGAAAATGTCACAAAAGGATGTTTCTGCAACATGCAGGAAATGATCTGTTCTAACACCGACCCCCCAGCAGTGATTACGGGCTTAATACATGACAAAACAAATGAACTAATATCTGATGTTCTTCTTTGTGTTTGCAGCTCATAAAGAGACATTGATATAAATGTCCATCCGTTTCATGATCAATTAATCACCCCACTTTAACCAAACAAGTGTCTCTATTTTGCTTCTAAAACCTATAAAAGCTCATTTTTAAATGTGCTGTTTGAATCAAGAAATTATTTACCAATAAGTGATCTAAAAATATTGAGCTTTCTTATAAATTCTTCAAGATCATTAAAGTAAATATATGTAAACACAAGCCTGACAGTTAGGATTGAATTCTACCAAAGTATTTGAGAGAGTTTTCATGTGCAAGTGTTTCTCCAGGTGTCTAAGAAAAGTACTCTTCTTCCACAGGCTCCTTTAGTGCAAGATGAAGTCCGAATGTTGGAGGTGGAGGTCCGAGGGGCAACGTTTTACTCAAAAGAAGTCAGAAAAGTTATGATCAAAGCCTACCAGCCAAGCACATTCGTCCAAACAGATAAACCGATCTACCTCCCAGGACAAACAGGTGACGCTGATTAATTTATCTATGATGATGTGAACAGAAGATCTCTGTTTGTGTATGAAATAATCAATAACATTTGAGTAGTTTACAATTGGTATTTAAAGGGTCTGAGAATATTTTTAATGATTTATAAATTGATTTGATTGATTGATTGATGGATTGAATAGAATACTCAGATGATGAGGTGTTTTAACTTCATGATATCTTTTCAAATTCCTCAGTGAATTTCAGAGTCGTCTCACTGGACAGCAAATTGAGACCTGTCAATCGCTTGGTAAGTGTTTCAATTCCTGGATTATTAGATTTTATTCATCTAAAGATTGGTACTTGGGCTGATCTGATTATATATTTGAATAGATTTACTGTAACAGTTAAATATGTGTTGTTTTGTTCAACCATTGTAAAAGTTGTTCCTGAAACTCACTAGAAAGCCAACTCTGTGATTATGATGAGAAGCCTCTTAAAAAGTAGAAATAAAGAAATACATTAACAGTGTTTTATACAATAAAAACTGAAAATAATTAAACAGACTGATTTTCTATGGAAAGTGAAATGTAACTAAGATTCATAAAGACACTGACAACAATGAAAAGAATATAATTCAAAATGCCCTCTAATGCATCTCTCTATTTTTATTTTTTTCACAGTACACTGTCATTGAAATTGAGGTAAGACAATATCGACATGCCTTTTTTAATGTTGCTGAATCAGGACCTGTTTCACAAAAGGATTACATGACTTTTGCAGATGCTAAACCTGTGCAAAAGTGTCAAAAAGACAATGTCTAATTCACAAATCATGCAAAGTGTTCACTGCACCCCTAACTGCACTGCAGAGCAAACAGCGTCTCTACGCGGTGGTGTTTCTTGTGTGTATTAAAATGAGCTTTTATGCTGTCATTTGAGAAAGAAGTTGGCTCCATTTCATGCAAATCGACGTTATTGCAAAAAGCATCTAATTCCCAAACACAGGTGCTAACAGCCACACGTTTTTAGGGAAGTAAAAAGCGCCTGTTGTGAGTTGGTGGTAACTGCGCCGCAGTATTTATAAGAGATGTCAGTCGTAAACTTTCCAGTAGTCAGAAAAACAATTCCCCCCTCTGTCTGTTATAAAAATGAATGAATTGTAAATTAATTCTGTAAATGGGACGTTGACCTTACTTCTATATAAACAGATGTTAAAACTGTCCATAGCTGTCAGCGTCTCCGCACTTCATCCACATGTGTAGAGACGCTCTGGAGCTGTTAGGCACAAGGAAGCATGTGTTTTATTCTTTGAGTTAACCATTCTTGCTTTTTTCAGGGAGGAAGTTTTGTTTGAAAAAGTGAAAGCCATTTTACATTTTTTTACTTTTATGCTAAATGCATTGCCCAATGTTGTCTAACATTTAGAGAAGGATCAACATGAATCAGGGTGGTCTGGGCTTTATTCTGTTTTGAAGACATGTTTTCTCTGTATTTTAATTCCCCACTTTTGTCATGACTACAGGATTCAGCCAGCAACAGGGTTGGACAGTGGTTACAAAAAGAATCCAACGGGACAATATTGCAGCTTTCTTACTCCTTGAACTCTGAGGCCCGCGAAGGAACCTACAATGTCATTGTGTCGATTGGTGATGAGAAGATTATTCATGACTTTAAGGTGGAGAAATATGGTGAGTTATTGTTTGTTTTAATACCTTCTATTGCAATACATTTGTATTGTAGCAATAATAAAAATGAGGTTTTGTCTGCAGTTTTGCCAAGATTTGAGGTAAAAGTAGAAGCACCTGGTGAAGTTAGTATTGGGCATGAAGACATCAAAGTTGAAGTTTGTGCAAAGTAAGTCATGCTTTTTTTCATTCGTTCACTCTTAAACAAACTAACATAGTTACAGTTTGGTGAGAAAATGTCTCTATTCAAACAGCACACGTTTTATTTGTCTATCTATGTAGGTATACATACGGGCAGCCTGTACCAGGAAATGTTAAAATTGAGATGCACCGACCTCTCAGTCGCTATTATACAAGGAACTATGTAGCTACCACTGATAATTCAGATGGCGTCCCTGAGATAACTGCCCCATCTTACATGGAGATAAAACAGGTAGAGTCTGCTGGAACCTTACAAAGCTTGTGCACTATTTCACATACAACATACTGTTTACATCAAAAAACAGAAGAGAATATATAAAGTCACCTGTGTTATCATTCCAAAACAATAACTGAAGATTGTTTTACACCATGGAAACCAGCTTGAACCCAGCTTCAACTCGTTGGGGATTGAACCTAAATGTACTTTATTTGATTTTAATTTATTATCTTTGATTAAACTCTTTAGGCAGATAAGGCCGGCTGCGCAACTTTTCTCATCATGATGTCAACTTTCACAAAACTTGACCAAAAAGTGCTGCGAGATTCACTGCATCTCAAGGCCAGCATGGAGGAGGAGGGAACAGGCAAGTGTCAATCTTGGATATAAATTTGAGAATGACAGTTAATCCCTCAAGAGAATCAAATGTATTTATTGTTTACATCTTTAAGAGCTTTAACACTGAGGCTTCTTGAACAGGAATTGCACATGATAGTCAGAAGAGACTCGATATATCCTACGCTATCGGAAAGGTTTTCTTCATGGACACACCCAAGATTTACAACAAAGGATCAGATGTGGAGGGAAAAGTAAGTGCACGCTCACCACTTATGCATCAGATCGTGTACACAGTCCAACCTTGTATTCTTAGTCGTACACCTTTGTGCTTTTAACAGGTCAAAGCTGTTACTTACGACAACACGCCCATTCCTGACATGAAGGTGCACCTGTTTGAGGGAGAGAGGTGGTCATCCCGTCTGCTGCAGAATCTCACAACTGACAGTGAGGGTGTCGCAGCTTTCACGATAAGCACAGCTGAGTTTAAACAAGACATCCAGCTTGTCGTAAGTACGATGTGAAACTGCACTAAAAACTAAGACAACATCAAAACACACAAAAAGGCCAAGACCTAAATTATCAATATGCTTCTACTGATCCTCTCAGATCATCTGCACAAATATCTGCATATGACTGGATTTTGGAGTCTTATGAAGAGAAATGTACTGCTTTCTGTTTTGTTGAGACTAAAGCCTGGTACACACTACACGATTTTTTAAATCTTAAACGATTTTGAAAACGTGAGAGACTCCACACATGACAACAATCCTGACTGATTAACAGTTCAGATCGCACAGTGTGTGGAGTGCCGAGTTGATCGTCTTGTTGCACACCACACACTAACCGATTAATTCGCCGACAACCAGAGTCTCGACTATCACAAAGTGTAATCTTGCGCAGTCAGTCGCGATTTAAGAGAAAACAAACATGACGGGCAAACTAAATGTGGCTAGCTGTTAGCTGGTACATCCATTACGGTAAACATTTTGGTCAAAGTGGTTTGTTTTACAGGACACGTTGTATATAACTCGTGTTGTTGCCACAAATCAACAAGTTGGTCCTGACTTCATGACATCCATTTAACTTTATGCTTCGCGATTGCTGTTGTCGCCATGGTAATGTTTGTTGTGCTTCCTGCTTCAGTCAGCTTGCTTCCCTATTGGCTATTGTTCCGTTCCACGTGACAATTCACAGAGACCGTGCTTGGCCGTCTACACCACAGGATTTCTGATCGTAAATGTTGAACACGTTTAATATTTACGATTTTAAATCGGGGCGGCACCGATCGTCTTCCTAGCAGATCGGAAAGAGGTTAAAATCAATCTTAACACACCTCACACCACAGGAGAATCTGACCAGATAATCTTTGGAACATCAGATAGTCAGGCCTTTGCTGACTTTGGTCGGAAGGAGGGAATCAGGCCCAAAATCGGCCCGATTATCTTGCAGTGTGAACCCCGCTTTAGTTGAGTTGACCAATCGTGTTGAATGGGATTTGGTTTCTTTGCAGGGAAACAGTCCTTGTCGAGAACAGAATATGTGATATACAGATTTCGTCTTCCATCAGTTATAATGATCAACAGTTACGCCTTTTAGGGATCTGTATCAACATGTATCTACAAACACAAAAACAAAACATACAGACATAAAATCTGATGATTGACATCACTACCCATATACTCCCATGTCGGGATAGTAATAATAAGTTACACAGAGGGTTCTGAAGTTGTATACTGAGTTGACTACCAAGTTGTTTTATACTATGCAGTATATTACTCCATCATAGTTTACCCTGGTTTACTTCAGCGGCATAAACCTGAACAAGATACTGTGTTACTTGCAATAAACAGGTTTAAAGTTCAAACCCAAAAATAACATGATGCAGTGTGCATTATTCCAGAGGAGGGGGGGATGGAATTCAAATTGAAATTATTCTCTCTTTGACTTAGACTTAGACTTTCTTTATTGTCAATCAAACTTATACTTTACAGTGCAGATAAGAACGAAATTTCGTTGCATTTGGCTCGTTGTAGTGCAGGATAAAAACAGCAGCATGTATTTACATATAAAAAATAAAAATAAGGTGCAGATATAAATAGATATAAAAAGAAAAACTATGAGTAAAAATACTATACAGATAAATATATTGCACGTTATATTGTGTTTTACAGTCCAGTGAGGTAGTCCTGTGTGGGGGTTTGAGGGGGAATGGAGGGATTTTTTTTTTCCTGTTCAAAAGTCTTATGGCCTGTGGGAAGAAGCTGTTACAGAACTTGGTTTAAGGTCAACAGACGTAGGCTCATTTCTGAACTTCACTCCACAATCTAGGTAAGCAGTAAACCCTCAGTGAGGTACGACGGGCATCGATCTCCTTACTACCAAACCGGAGAGCACACACTGACCTCGGTCAAACCTTTTGCTCCAGAAACTAAAACAATCAGCTCCCTGGAGGTGCAGAAGAAGGATCAACCACTGGCCTGTGACACAGAAGAAGAAATCTTCATCCGTTTCCTTGTCGTCGGGGAAGCCCAGGGCTCTGCGGATGTGATGTATCTGGTAGGTGAACTGTTTCTAAGTATATTCATATCTTATATCAGTTTATAATCTGCTGTAATGAGAATGAGGTGTCACTGTGAGAGAGTATTACTTATTCTATGTGTCTTTTAAACTCCACAGGTCTTATCCCGAGGAGTCATTGTATGGCAAGGATTCAAACAGGTTGAAGTCCAAGATAAATCAGGTATTAAAATATTGGCTTTAATCATGAATCAGGAACTTTCTTGCCACGAGGGCCCAGAATGTAAATGTTTGTCTAACCTCTCAGGTTAAAGATTTCTTCACTAGAGAGAGGGAGGCAGAATTGCATATCTTTTTGCGTAACCCAGAGGTTGTTCACTCAACAAACACAAACTGAACTTTGTTTTAAAGCCACTGGAAACCTAAATCCATAAAAGTCTTCTTACTTTGTAATACAGGGTCTCCTGTACATAAGAGGGGGCATCTAAAAGTATCAAAATTCCAAGCACTGTTTTTAAGATTCTGTTAACTTTTACTGTAGTGGATTTGGTGTGGTTATATTTGAATATTTATTATGAAATGTTAAACAATAAATTCAAATTCATCCGGTGATTCCCAAAATATGGACTGGGAGCCTAAGGTCAGGCCCGGAGTTATGATAGGGGGACCTGGCAACGCTTAAAGGCAGTGTTGGTAATTTTTGAAAACTAGCATGATTTTGAGAGTAGCATTCCCTCGGTGTTCCGTCTGCACCCACCTCTATGCTCCCTCAAAAGCCACGCCCCTCACTTACATGCGCAAGCGCCATTTGTCAAGAAGCGGACCTCAGCTCATGCTTTGAGTGTGGGCTCGTTCAAGCATGGGGTAGAGAATGAACAGGGAGACAGGGAGGCGTGTGATTGGTTCATCAGATTGGTACCTCGTGCAGACATTGGTCAAAGTTTTTACAGGCTTACAAACTGATACAGATGACGGATTTTCTTCGTTCCTTTTTCAGAGCACGAGTTATTAATTTCTGTAAGGACCCAAAGACAAGTTCAACCAAAATATTAAAAAGTGTATTTAGAGAAAATGATCAACCTTACCTTTAACCTAAACAATGCATATTGTTTTTTCACAAAAGCAAAGCATGGGAAATATTTTGAAGACTTTCAGCAAAGATTCAATCACCTTCCAAACCAGACGTCACAAATGTAGGAGTTTCAGTTTAGTCGCTTGCTAGTGTTTTCAGTTTGTCACACACTGAACTGCTATTCTGAACTTTTTGCAGCCAATCTTGACATCACTTCTAAAAATATAGGATTTGTTTTCAAAGCAGTAAAAGTGGATACATCTTGATGTGTTAGATGAAGGGTGGGGGCACATTTTCATCTTCCCGGAAAAGTTCCAGAACCACTGAATTAATCAATCATATGAAGTGTGATATCACATTCAGCCAGCCTGATGAAGCCACAGGCGAAACGTGTTGTTCGATCACAATAAAATGCAGTTATTTTCAGTGTGCCACGGAGTTTTGATTTATTTTTCATGGTTTTTCTTTCAAGTTCCAACCGTGCGTACCTGAGAACATATCAGCTGTGCACGGGGAACCTGTTGACCATTTAGATAATTCTGTCTATTAAAAGCCTGTTTCACTTTTTCAGTGACTGAGGGCGAGATGTCCTTTAAGTTCAGAGTGTCCCCTGAGATGTCCCCAGACGTCCAGGTTGTGGCTTACGCTGTCCTCCCCAGTGAGACGGTGATCGCCCACAGTTCTGACTTCTCCACTGAGAAATGCTTCAGTCACAAGGTCAGTGTTGACATCTCCCAGATTTGTTGGTTTTGAAAATAGTTATTGTTGTCCCATTGACAACATCAGTTTTTCCTTGTGTCAGGTGTCGCTGGAGTTTTCTCCGTCCTCAGCTGTCCCAGGAGAAGAAAACACCCTAAAGTTGACAGCCCAGCCGGACTCTCTGTGTGGTGTGAGCGCTATCGACCAGAGCGTCCTCATCAAGGAGCCCGGGAAAACTCTGGACGCAGAAAAGGTAAATGCTTCAATAAGGTAAGTGCCTATTAGTCTCCTTCAAGAACCAGGTGACTCTTTTTAACATGACAGACCAATATTTCCCCTGTTGGAACCTCATTGGAAACTTGTTGGAAACTTATTTTTGCTGCCATTCCTTTCTTTTCAGATATTTAATCTGTTGCCAGTCAGAAAATCCACCCATATTCCATACTCAGCTGAAGACGCTTTAGAGTGCCTGACAGTGAGATCAAAAAGATCATATCTGCCGTACCGCTCACGGCGTGCCGAAGATGATGCTTACAACGTTTTCCAGGTAATTCTTGTGCAATGTTTCCAATATTAAATGTTGTGTTTAATACATTTTTAAATAATCTTTATTTCTTGTTGTTGTTGGATTATCTAGAATGTTGGGCTGAAGATGGTAACCAATTTGTTTATTCGGACGCCATCGTGCCTCACCTATAGAGGAGAAGAATACCACCGGGGCTATGGTGACTTTTTATCTTTAATTTATCATACTTGCTCGTTGAATTTGTCATTGTTTGGTATTGTTGTTTTTTTGCATCTGTTTGATAAGGAGCCTTTCCCGAGCCATTCAGAAGCTGTCCTAAAATTTAAAGCAGAACATCCTCATGTTCTGATGAAATATTTTCCGGTTTCTCTACAGGACACAGAGTTTATGACATGGATACTCTTATTATGGCAAAGGTGAGCCTGGAACGTCCACCAGGTCCTGGCAATGAGGAGTCTTTAGTTATAGAGACAGTCCGCAGTTTTTTTCCTGAGACTTGGATCTGGGACCTTGTGAAAGTTGGGTGAGCTTTTCAAACTTTTACACATGATGGTATGCAGTGATGCCTGCAGGATTAAATGTTATAGCATGCACTTCACGATAAGGCGCTAGAAATGTTTTGATGTTATATCGTTACGTCATTATGTTACACCAAAGATTCACATTCAAATCCATGTGTCATGTGGTGAGTGGAGCGGCCAAAGACCTCATCTTAAAAACAAAAGGGTGGAAAGAAAACCTTAAGAAGAAAGGAACCAAAATGAAGTTTAGACAATTACAACAAACTGGAAATTTATTTTTAAATGGTATGGGTTTAAGGCTGAGCCTTAAACCCATACCATCTAGAGTGGGACCTTGTTCAGTACTTCCTATTATTTGTTGATGTGAGCGTTTTACAGTAAGCATCTTATTTTAATTTACCAAACAGCTTACAGACTCACATCAAGCCCCTGATGATATGAAATGTTTGTGCTTCATAAAAACATGGCTTAGGTCTTACTCTCCAAGCAGGATCACAACAGCCAATCAGAGGAAAGATAAAAAAAAGGGTTTACTTAAGAAGTGTTTGTTGATCCGTCCCATACAGCTTTGATGCTGATGGTAAGGTTGTAATCAGGTTTGAAAGCACTTAAATAATGCTGGACTGTTTAATTTTTTAACTGTGAAAACTCTTAATGCTGTTATTCAGTGTGACAATTAGTGTCAGATTTCCTGTAGAGAAATCTGAGATCTCTTGAAATTTTCAAGCCATAACGGAGACCGATGTGTTTCTTTGTTTTTGCTGTTTCAGAGAGTCTGGGACAAAGGATGTGCCCCTCACTGTTCCTGACACCATCACCACCTGGGAGACAGAGGCTTATTGTTTGTCCCCTCAGGGTTTCGGTTTAGCTCCTCGTAAAGAGCTCACTGTCTTCCAGCCTTTCTTCCTGGAGCTCAGCCTGCCTTACTCCATCATCCGAGGCGAGAACTTTGAGCTGAAGGCGACTGTCTTCAACTACCTGTCCAGCTGCATCATGGTAATGAATGTTTTTACCCCTACAACATAACAATGTGAAACGTTTGCTTTAATATCCGAAAAGAACCACTACTTGTCTTGGTCTCAACACTTCCACAACCTGAAGAAGAACAGATCTGGTCAGTGCCCGAAGAAGGCCCTTTAGCATCCCTCCTACCTTAGACAATATGATTGTAAACTTCAAGAGCCCCTGGCTTCACCTCGAGTTTACCCCCACTGCACTGACAGCATCCGTTTTTTTTTTATTAAGTCTAACAAAGCTCTTCTGAAAGTGGTGAAACCGGTGTCCTACTGGTTAATCTGTCCCATGTGCAGATTGTAGCGGTGTGGTGAAACATTACATATAGTAAGCACTTCACTGATGATTCAATTTCGTGTAATGTGTCCGTTATCAACGTGTTTAATCAAGGCGTTTATAATTTGTGTGTGAGCGTAATCAACCTGTACAATCAACTGAAGTGGCTCAATGCTTTTGAGTAAATTTATTTAAGGCTAAGCTGCTTTGACTACTTAGAGTGTATCTTTTAATGGTTGTTTAATTATTTTGGAACAGATGTTGTCCGTTTATTTTGATCAGAATATTGTGATTTTCCTAATCTAAGTCACCGAAGTGTAGTTCGACAGTGGATAGAATGATCGAGTTAATAGAGGAAACACAGATGGTTACTATGGTAGTTAGCCAAATTATGTTAAAGTCTGGTTGGTGGACAGAGACCTGGCAGTCTGCGATTTGAAACAATATGGCAGACGAGAGAGGCAAAAGATGAATAGAGAAAGACCAAAATCGAAACAACAACAACAAAAAGGTTTTTTCTGAACTATTCTACGAAGTAAAGTGTAACTTTACTTTCTTTGATACTTTCTAGATTTATGACCTAACTGGGACATTGGAGTCCCCTGCTAGTCCCATAGGGTTTTTGTGTAACTTGATTTGGTTGTGGTGTATCCATTTGAGGGTAGGCATTGTCTGTCCTTTGGTGACCTTGATCTGGTAGACGACAGGTGAAAGTTTCTCTGTGATAACCTAGGGCTTGGCCCAATGAAAAGGGGGCTACCTGTAGAGACTTCAGGATTGCCTTTATGTCTCTGTGTCCTGTGCAAGGGGAGTCATGGGCCTGAGTTAGCATCACCCCCTTGCGGCTCTGAGGCACAACAAACGCAGGTGCAGCGAGTGGGTCAGAGGCAAGTATAAAGTGGTCCTTGACGACCTTAAGAGAGGCACGGAAAAGGAAGCGTAAAGATGTGCTAGCAGCACGATCTTCAGCTGAAATTGGATGTTTAGAAGGATCTGAAAGGAACAAGGTCATGGCACAAATAGAAGGGTCCCCCGCTTGGATCGAGTTGGGGTCTGAGAAAGTGACAGCAGGATCTGCTGCAGGTATGCCTGAAGTAGAGTCTGGAGGCTCTGTCTTGGAGAATGGTGTATTTTGATCGGGGCATGAATTGACTGACATGACATGGGCTGTTTGCAGAACCATTTATGTGCAGTCAGTGAAATCAACTCGACAAACCGCTTCTTGGGTTAGAGTCGCAGCAGGGAAGAGTGTTATAATCTCTGATGGTGCTGTATGCGCCACATGTACATTTTCGTTGCCTGAAAGCACCTGTAGAGGAATAACCCCTATCCCTGGAATTGAAAAATAGAAGCGATGGTTGAAATATCAACTGTGAGTGATGGCGGCATTGCCCTGGTTGGATGTTCAATCTTCTCATCTCTGCCGTGTTGGCAGGTATGACCACATTAAGTTCGTTGACCACCTGACATGCCTCAGGAATGGATTGTCCTGATTTTGGGTTGTCAGTGTCTGGAGTCGCGTCGTTACCGACAGTCTTGAGGGACCACAGCATGTTGTTAGTGCTGTCGACTTGTACATTCAGCCTGACGAGTAGGTCACTGCCTATGTAAGTTGGGTGCGGAAGGTTGGGGATAACGAGGAAGCAATGAGTTAGCGCCCGGTAATTTCACCACACCTTTAAGGCACATGCGCCCTCAGAAGTCATGTTTACCTGTGAATGGGGCAATAGAGGGAAGTGTTTGGTACCTGGATAAAACATGATGTCAGGGTTAGCTTCCATCAAAGAGTTGAATAACTCTTGGCTAATGGCTGTCTGATTAGCCCACAGGGCTAATGCCACTTCTTCAACAGGTGTGCCGTCAAGATTGATTCCTTGTTTCACTAATGGACAGTGTTCATTTGTCTCAGTGGGGTTAGTGAATGCACACAGAAAGTTCTCTCGCTGAGAGAGTGATTCACTCGGGGACAGTTTGATCTTTGATTGATTCCAACTCGTCTTGTTTCTCTTGAAGGGCCTTTCCTAGCTCTTCACTATCTTCCTTCTCTTCTTTATCAGAAGGATTACTAGCATTTTGAAGCTCTGCGATGAGCCTTTCTGCCTTGCTTAGGGACTGGTCTGTCTCTCTAAGTTGCAGCTGGAGTGCGTTATTCTCCTGCTCAAGTTGTGCCACTATCTGTTGAGTGCTTTCTTGCTGTTCTGTTACTCGTTCTAACAGCTTACACCTGAACTTTTCTTGGGCGGGCCTGTCTATGACATCAGTTAAATCTTTGTCTTTCAGAGTTTGGGTTAAAACAGTTACAATAAGAGTCGGCATCATGTCCACCAAAACAGATTTCAACTGTTCTACTGGGTCAGCTATGCCAACCTGCGCTGAGTGGGCAGAGGTCTCCATCTCTGGCTTCTTGTTAAATAATCAAACAAAACCAAAAGAAGAAAAAAATATATATATTTAAATCGTAAAGAAATTGGATTGGAGAATTTTTTTTTAAATAAAATAAATCAAAATTAAACTCAAGATAAAAATTTTGAAACCAAAATAAAAATTTAAGATTAAAATCGAAAATCGAAATCAAAGTTAAGATTTAAGATTTAAGATAAAATTTAAAATTTAAAATTTAAAATTTAAAATTTAAAATAAAACTAATGAGTGGATTTGGTTAATGAGATTGAGCTCAAATTCTAATCTGAGAAGGGAAGTACTAGTTAAAACTAGCAGAAGCTCTTGAGAGCAGGATAAAATTTAGTGAAAATAATTTAGCTGCAAATGAATAAGTTATCACCTAAATTGTAGCAGACTAAATGTTGAAATCAAGTTTATTGAAAGCATTTTGGAGTGAAATAAAACTTGAATTAAAATTGAAGTTGGATTTGAATCTCTGTAGAAATTCAAATTAAATCTGTGATAGAAAAAATAAATTTGCATTCAGGTCACAATTGAGTGTTACCAATGTGAATCACGTTTCAGTTGCCGTAATGTTTGAATTAAATCTGGAATTAATTGTAAACAAACAGCAGACAATTTGGATTGTTATTCAAAATAAAAACTATGAAAAATAACAATAATGATAATTTTCAAGTCAGTATTACACTGTTAAATGTAATACAGGATCAAAATTGAGACCTAAAAATCCTTTATGTTCAATAAATGGTGTGATAAGGCGAATGAGGTTTAATGTAAATTAGAGTTCAAGCCATAAAATAAATCAATTCCTATTCTAGAAGGAAGACTGGTCAATTTACTTAGTGAATTCTTCTGTTTTAATTTTAAATCTCTAGGTGATGAGAAAGCTGTGTCAGTATTTTTCAGGGAACAGACGATTTAATATATCAGTGATTCTTGAGATAAGGGACAAAAGAGGTTTTGATTTTAGAAAAAAATATTTTGATCATTTTCAAAATACATGATTACATTTCTGTTAAATGGTGTTTCGTCTATCCAAATATGTTTTGGTTCAACCTCCCTTGTACATATTTAATATAAACTGTATGTTTGCTGGATCACCACTTGATTTTTGTCAACACCATCAGAAACATTAAAATACTTGAAATATTTTTTTGAATTTTAAAATATGTTCACTCATCAGATTTCCCAGTTCCCCTAATTATGCACACAGGTCTTGAAATCAATAAAAAAAACATTTTTAAAGCCAGAGAAGTCAATGTTTAATGAATATCATTGAAATTTCATAGATGAATTACATTTGTCTTTAACCTTCAGACTTAACAGTAACATTTTTAAGCATAAAAAATACACATGAACATTAGAAATGTGTAAGTCTCTGAACAAATATCATTCATGGAATAAACCAGATGCACTTTTTAAAGAAATAAAGACTATATGACGGAGTTGACAAGCCATTAACGGAGTTGACAAGGCATTGATGGAGTTGACAAATTAAATTGATCATGAACTGGAAAAATCTCATTCAAAATATCTTCTGAACTCTCACAAAACTCTAATACTGGAATAAATGAAGAAAATGTGACGTTATTATTCTTTTCTTGAAAAAGGGCTCAAAAATTGAAAAAAATAACTGGAACTGAAAAACTGCCTTGTATTCTTTTAAAAAACAGATCTCACTGACAAATCTAATTCTAAAGCATATATTCAATGTGAGCATCTCTTTGAAGTTGAGTTTAAACACTAGGTAAGAGATGATTCAGGTGTTCCCCTTCAATGAAACCCATGACCTCAGGAGGTGTTGATATATATGTGATATATTTCCCTGGTGCTGCTTATACGAACTGGGGAAGATGGCTCACTCAGCTTAACCATAATATCTGGAAATGGCACAAAGCAGATATCCAGTCGTCCTTGTTTTTGCTGGAAACGGACATTTGGCCCATGAGGATGAAAAAATTCAACTTGAACATCATGATGCTCTGGGTCAACTGCTAAGGCTTTAGCCAGCCACCAGTACTGGTCATACATGACAACAAGCCAATCTTCACTCTGGATATCACTGGGGCCTATTCCAGTTGCTGTGCCCTCAGGTCCTCCACTGGGTTCTTTCTCCATGGCCTCCATCAACATCGGCAGAGGACTCTGTACTGCAGTGGCAGGGACATCTGAATCCTTAGGGATGCCATCCCAAGCATGGGTAACTGGACTGAAGCAGGGGCAAATATGTGGCTCATTGCAAAAACATGACATGTGCCTACAATGGATGACATTCCCCTCTGCTACAACTTGATGGATCTTCC